CAGCAGCTCCACGTGGCCGTCGAGGCGGTCCGCGCGAGCCTGGACGACGCGCACCACCCGCGCCCCTTTATCAAGGAGCTCGTGGCGCTCAAGGAGATTGCCTCAGAGGACCCGGTGGTGGACGCGGCCATCGCCTCCATCAACCCGTCGGCCTACCAGCGCGGCATCTCGACGTCGGCCCAGCTGATGGACCGTTTCCGCCGCGTGGCCACCGAGGTGCGCAAGGCCTCGCTGCTGCCCGAGGACGCCGGCGTGGCCAGCCACGCGTCGAGCTTGGTGCTGAGCAAGCTGCTCTTCAAGAAGCAGGGCCACGCGACGGGCGACGATGTCGAGAGCATCCTGACGCGGACGCAGGCGTATCTGGAGGAGGGCGATCTCGATAATGCGGCGAGAGAGATGAATGGTTTGTCGGGGTGGGCCAAGACGCTGAGCCGCGACTGGCTGGGTGAGGTGCGAAAGGTGTTGGAGGTGCAGCAGGCGCTCGACGTATGTTTTTCCTGGGGGTGGCTGACAGAGTTCTCTTGCTAACATGGTGATAGGTAATCCAAACAGAGGCCAGGCTGCAGAGCCTAAGGGTGGAGTAAGAGGGGGGAGGGGGGTTCATTTGTTCACCTGTATATTTGTTAGAACTTGTCTACCTGTCTACCTAGTATCGGGCCTCGACGGGTTAGAAAGGGGCGGGCGGTCGCGGACGCGGCCGTGTGTATCAGATAGCGAATAGACATGGGTTCTGAGTACGTGCTGGTCTTGTGTGTTGGATCTTGTGCAATGAGAAAAATGATGTCTGGATTTTTTATATTGCGCCTGATGACTTCTCAGAGCGAGGTCGGGTCGATCCGACGACTTGTCGGCGTCGCTTGGGATTTATGGGTCCGAGATCTTTGTCTCATCACGCAATTCACAACCTCCTCTTCCCACCATCCCTTGATAGAATCTCGACAAAAGACTGACCGTCATTGGATCGGGTCATATGAAAAGTACGACTTCCATAAATCTGTATACGAATTACCATATCCATCACTAAGCAGGGAGTAGATTGACGACATACCCAGCGACGCCATCAGAGCCATTTCCACCCGCTGAAAGACGACATCTGAATTGCCAAAACTGGACTCTTCCCAAACCTCTCACAGCAACCACCGCTAGATTTCGGAACAGAAAGGACACTACCACCTCACATGTAATGCTCCTTCGCCGTCTCAACTTACGCCATCTCAACCCCCCCAGCACCCCCCTCTTTCGCTCCCGACCCTGCCTCCCAACACCCCCCATCCTCACCACCATCCTCACCCACCACCCCTTCACCAGTAATATCACCGCCGCCAAAATGCCCTCCCCCCGGACCGCACCTACAACACTGCCCTCCACGACCTCTCTACCCTGCAATCTAACCGCGCCACCGTCTCCCTCTTCAATACCACCCCCACCTCCCCCCCGCAATCCACCCACGCCCTCAACGCCCCCGCCATCCCCGAGATGCTCGCCGCCCTCCGCCACGCCGGCTACACCCCCGCATCCCTCGCCGCCTCCGGCCTCCGCTGCGTCCACGTCGCCGGCACCAAAGGCAAGGGCTCCGTCTCGGCCCTCGTCGCCTCCATCCTTCGCCAATACCGTCCCCCCACAATTACCGGACCGGTGGGGCTCTACACCTCCCCGCACCTCGTCTCCCCACGGGAGCGCATCGTCCTCGACGGGGCCCCCATCTCGCGGGATAAGTTCACGCGGTATTTCTACGAGGTCTGGGACCGGTTCGAAGGGGTAGAGGCGGGCAAGCCGCATTACTTCCGCTTTCTGACTATCCTCGCGTTCCACACATTTTCGTCGGAGGGCGTCCGCGACGCGGTCGTCGAGTGCGGCATCGGCGGGGAGTACGACGCCACCAACGTGCTGGCGCCCGAGGGGACTAGTGCCGCGGTGGTGACGCAGCTGGGGGTGGATCACGAGCGGATGCTGGGGGGACGAGGGGGGAGATTGCGTGGCATAAGGCGGGGGTGTGGAAGGAGGGGGTGAGGGGGTTTACGAGGAGGCTTGGAGAGGAGGGGGAGGAGGGGGTGGTGATGGGGGTGTTGAGGGAGAGGGCGAGGGAGAAAGGGGTGAGGGAGCTGGTGGAGGTGGGGGAGGAGAGGTTTGGGGGGTGGAAGGGGGTGGTGGAGGGGGCGGCGATGGAGGGGCCATGGGTGAGGTGGAATATGGTGTTGGCGGTGGCGGCGGCGAGGGAGCATTTGAGGGAGAGGGGGGTGGTGTTTGAGGGGGGGTTCGCGGGGGGGGAGTGGACGATGGGGGATGTGCCGGAGAAGTTTGAGAGGGGGTTGAGGGAGGCGAGTTTGAGGGGGAGGTGTGAGAAGGTGGAGGGGGGGGAGGGGTTGGAGTGGTTTGTGGATGGAGCGCACACGGAGGATAGTCTGGCGGGGGTGGGGGAGTGGTTTGTGGGGAAGACAAGGGGGGATGAGAAGGAGGTAAGGGTGTTGGTGTTTAACCAGCAGGATAGGGATCCGGGGGTGTTGGTGAGGGCGCTACTGGGTGGTGCGAGGGGAAAGGGGGGTGCAGTGCCGGTGTTTACGCATGCTGTGTTTACGAGGAACGAGGAGACGGCGCCGACAGAGGGAGAGGAGAGGGATTTGTCGGTCCAGAACCAGGCGAGGGCAACGCTGCAAGAGTCTGATGCTGGGACGGAGACGCATGTTCTCAGTGCTGTCCAGCCGGCGGTCGAGTTGGTCAGAGGCATTGCCGCAGACACCAAGAAAGATGGAAAGGTCTGCAAGGTGCTGGTTACGGGGAGCTTCCATCTTGTGGGAGCTGTGCTCAAGACGATTGAGGATGTTGAAGAATAGTTCAACATTGTCTAACTCCTCCCAATATCCAAGCCGATCGTCCTACCTGCGCCGTGCCGTGGAGCTTCATTACGCCTATGTTGAAATATCCAAACCAGGAGCCGTTGAAGGCTTGCACATATATACTCTTTTGTCCGCTTCCCTCTAAAGGGCGTCTGCCTTTTCCAAAATTCCCAACGCGCCACCCACCAGGTGTAAGCTGCCCGTGATGAGAGCCTGTACTTTCTGTCCAGGCTCAACGTCCTTGGAGAGACCACGCGCCGTGGTAATGGCCTCTTCGATGCTGTGGATGACCATGATGTTAGCATCCGGGTCCAGCTTGGCCCACTTCTCGGCAAAGGCATGCTGGGCCGTCATCTTTTCAATGTCCTTGGGGTCATATTGATGGTTTACAAAGTCTGCCTTGGTCAGCACATGCTCAGAAACGAAAAAGAGAGTCCAGCTCACCCCTTTTGTAGCCCGTCTCGGCATATGTCACGTTCGTGCAGAAAATGACATGCCGAAACCCTCGCCCGGCCGGGTCCGCCTTCTTGACGGTGTTGCAGAGCCCATCAAGAAAGTCAATAGCCTCACTCCGCCCCTGCTGGTTGAAGATGAGCACCTTCGGCCCCGCCCTCTCGGCACACTCCCCGGTAAACCATCTCGACGCCATCTTCAGACTATCCACCGTATGCGCCCCATCCACATACCACGTCACCTCGTCCTCCTCCTTCACCTCACACCTCCCCCTCCAAACCACCTGCTCCAACCCCTCGACAAACTCCTTCGGAAACGGCCCCTCATTCTCCAACCTGAACCCCGGGACCAACTCCGCCAACGCCGTCTCCGCCAACGCCACTGCCAAGGTCGCATTCCTCTTCTGAAACACCGCGTCCGGCCTCACCCCCACTCCCTCCAACCGTCGATCCACCCCCAGCACCCTCAACTCAACCCCCTTCTCCTCCGCCCTCCTCCTCAGCACCTCCTCCGCCGCCGCCCCCTGCTCGACACTAAACGCCGGCCTCCCAGCCTTCATAATCCCCCCCTTGTGCCACGCAATCTCCTCCACCGTCTTGCCCAGCACATACACATGGTCGATCCCCAGCGTGCTAATCCCCGCCACCGCCGGCCGCTCCACAACATTCGTCGCGTCGTACTCCCCGCCTATCCCCGTCTCATACACCGCCACATCTACCCCCTCGGCCAAGAAAACATGCCAGCTCATCAACGTCAGGTAGCGCGCATAGATGGGCTTGGTCCCGTCGTCCCCCAGGCGGTCCCACACCTGGAAGAAGTATCGCGCAAACAGCTCCTCGGATATCGGGCGTGACGAGATGCGGATGCGCTCGCGCACGGCGATCAGGTGCGGCGAGGTGAAGAGGCCGACACGCAGGGGGCGGGGATGCGTGTGGCGGGCGAGGATCGAGTCGACAAAGGCGCAGGTGCTGCCTTTGCCCTTGGTGCCGGCGACGTGAATGATGTGGAGGCGGTCGAGGTCAGACGGGGAGTAGCCGATGCGGGAGAGGTAGGAGCGCATTTCGGTGAGGGAGTGAGCGTCGGGGCGGACGTTGGCGGCGCGGCGGGCGGCGATGACGGAGTGCGGGGTTTGGAGGGTGTTGAGAGCGTCTATCGCGTCCTAGGGGGAGGGAGGGTTAGTTGGGCTTGGAGGGAGTTAGGGGTAGGAGGTACATTGTAGGTTCGCCCGGGAGGGGAGGAGGAGGAGGAGGCCATGGTGAGGATGGTGTTGAGGGGGAGGAGCTTAGGTGTGCTGGTTCGAGTTAGGGGCCGTAGGAGGAGGCGGAAGGGGTATGGCGCATGTCGCATCAAGGTGTTGGCCGCTACCGGTGGGTGGTAGCGCGCACGGCAGATTCGGGTTGGTGATGGTAGGTTTTTGGTGTTTTCAGCATCCCTAGGCCGCCCTGGCCAGTGCAGTGTTGCGGCGGTTGCCGAGGAAGCGCTGACCACCATTTTGGCGACAGGGCGTACTGCAGGGCTATGTCATTCCACGGTCAGGGTGAGGGGTTGCTGCAAAGTTCCCCGCACCTCCGACCGACCTCCGACCGACCTCCGACCATCGGCTGCCCAGCATCGCAATATTTTTATCGTGATGGATCAAAATTCAACAGGAACAGTCTGTCCAGACGAGACTCCATCCTCAGACACAATATCAGTACCTGATTTCAAGCAACAGGCAAAGTAGCCAAGCGGTCTAAGGCGCCAGGTTCAGGTCAACCTGAATTCTTCATTCTCCAGAGTGTGTCCTGGTCGGAGCAATCCGGCGCGAGTTCGAATCTCGTCTTTGTCAAGATATTTTTGTTTCACCATCCGGTGGGATGTTCTTGTTGCATTTTTTTTCGGTATTTGGGGGGCGTCGCGGACGAGGGAACAGCTGGCTATAACGCTCTTTTGGTGTTGAGGGGCACTCAAGACTTCCACCTCGTCAATTGATGGGCCATTTCTAGACCGGCCTGTCTCGACACCGATGCATCCCGCGGATTGCCGCTCGTGCAGTTCATCAACTGCCGTTTCATCGCCATGCTCATCGACCATGCCGAGCATGTCACACAGCACCTCCCTCATCTTCAACTCATGCCCAGTCTGCATATATGCATCACGTTAGGTAAATTTAAATTTAACAGTAGGTATCTTGGGCCCGCGGGATCATGACGACCCATTGCCCGGCAGCCACCCACTCCGTCTTCGGTGTTCTCGCCTCCCCCCCCCCCCCGGAGGGAAGAAGTGGGCGGCAGCCATCGTGTTGGGCCCAGTTCGAGTTGTCCAACCCCTGGACGATGCATTTTTCACTTTACCCAAGGGCTCTCTGATTGCCTACGGGTACGTCTCTTTCCCCATCGACGCCGACAGGGAAAAGATTTCTTCTCCTCAGCTGATACGCCTCATCACGGAAGCCCGTTAGCAGCGGAGACTCGGCGGGCATGCCCCCCCCCCCTAGCGATTGGCGCGGGTAAATGAGTGGTTAAATGCTCGAGGTGCCGACGCTGGCCACCCTCCCACTCTACCTAGGCACGCCGCGTCGACGATGCAGTAGCTCGGGCGCGACAAGCTCTCGGGAGCTCGCGGCAGAAGCCATCGCGAAGCCCAAACCTCAGGTCATGGCGTAATCGGACACTACCCAGGAGCACCGTGGTGGTGGGGGGCCGGCGCTTCCCTCCCTGCCATTGACTGCTTTGCCATGGACTGCCCTTTTGCTTTGACCCGGCCCCTCGCATCCTGGGACCTGGCAGAAGTAATCCTTGGTGCGTAGGTAGCGGTCATGGTCCTGTAGGTTGCGTGGTCATGGCCATGAGGACTCCCCGCATTGGACACCCGCACCAAACTCTCCCACACGAACCAAGGAGTCCAGGAGGGCGGGAACACAGACACGAGGAGGAGGAGGAGGGGGGACGAGGAGGGGCACCCCATCCATCCATCTCCCCCATCCTCGCTGATCGCCGAGCAACGGTGGTCGGGGTCTGGACTGTTGGAGGGGGGTATTTATTTGCGTCTGCCTCTGCCTTTCCTCCTCTTGTCTCTCCTCGTCGAGCTTTTCCCTCTGTCGCCATCTTTTTGCTCAGCCATTGTTGTCTGCCCCTCCCCCGCCTGACATCATCACCACTCCCAACACCAACACCACCACCACCAGACAGCAACCATGGCGACAGGCTCGGTAAGACCGACACCCCGCCGCCACGCAGAACCTACCCGCTAACCCCCCCCCCCCAGAACCTCTCCTTCGTCCTCAACAAGGTCAACGATGTAGAGTTTAAGGACAAACCCGTCCCCAAGCTCAAGACTCCCCACGAGGTCCTCGTCGCCATCAACTACACGGGCATCTGCGGCTCCGATGTGCACTACTGGACCCATGGCGCCATCGGCCACTTCGTCGTCAAGGCCCCCATGGTCCTCGGCCACGAGTCCGCCGGCACCGTCGTCGAGGTCGGCTCCGGCGTCACCACCCTCAAGGTCGGCGACCGTGTCGCCCTCGAGCCCGGCTACCCCTGCCGCCGCTGCGCCAACTGCCTCGGCGGCCACTACAACCTGTGCCCCGAGATGGCCTTCGCAGCCACCCCCCCCTACGATGGCACCCTCACCGGCTACTGGGCCGCCCCAGCAGACTTCTGCTACAAGCTGCCCCCCACCGTGTCCCTGCAGGAGGGCGCGCTGATCGAGCCCCTCGCCGTCGGCGTGCACATCGTGCGCCAGGCCCAGGTCACGCCCGGCCAGTCGGTCGTCGTCATGGGTGCCGGCCCCGTCGGCCTGCTCTGCGCTGCCGTCGCCCGCGCCTTTGGCGCCACCAAGGTCGTCCAGGTCGACATTGTGCAGAAGAAGCTCGACTTTTCCCTCGGCTTCGGCGCCACCCACGCCTACCTCTCGCAGCGCGTGTCGCCCGAGGAGAACGCGGCCAACATCATCGCGGCCGCGGACCTCGGCGGGGGCGCCGACGTCGTCATTGACGCCTCGGGCGCCGAGCCCTCGATTCAGGCGTCGCTGCACGCCGTCCGCATCGGTGGCACCTTTGTCCAGGCTGGCATGGGTAAAGATATTATTAACTTTCCCATTGTCGCCTTTTGCGTCAAGGAGGTCACGGCTCGCGGCTCGTTCCGGTATGGAAGCGGGGACTACAAGCTGGCCATTGAGCTGGTGGCGGCCGGCAAGATCGACGTGAAGAAGCTCGTCGACGGCGTGGTGCCCTTCAACAAGGCCGAGGATGCCTTCACAAAGGTCAAGGAGGGCCAGGTCATCAAGATCCTGATTGCCGGGCCGAACGAGAAGGAGGGCGCCACCATTGACACCAAGGTCGACGAGGCCAAGCTCAAGGAGGCCGAGGCGGCCAAGGCGGCGACTGGGTCGACGTGCTGCTGACTCTGATTCGGAGCGTTGGATTGCGGCTTTCTTGTGTACATTTTTGGGATGGTTGCTTTGACATGGCGTCTGGGTGGGATGCATATAACGGAAGTTATCTTTTGCTAGCGGGAAATAATTTATCTATCTATTTACGGATAGCAACTCGAGACGTGTATGTGAGGAACGACTATGGAACTAACATGCCCTAATGCCCTAGATCAACCCCCTGATACAGCACGCCCCTCAATCCATCACCCATTCTCTCTGACAAGCCCTTTAATCCAACATGCCCAGATACCTTGTCTCAAACTTGGTCTCCGCTCTCGCCCCCTTGACCCCGATCCTCACCGTCTCCCCCGGAACCAAATCCACCCCGTTGTCCTCAAACTTGACGCCCTCATCCTCGCACTCTACCACGAGCCCCTTGACCGGTACGTCGGCACTCACCTCGACCGCCGTCCCATCCGCCGCCAACACCACCTTTAGCTCCTTCGGCTTCTGCAAGTGCAGATACTTCAACGGCTCCGGCCAGTTGACGTACCTCGCCACCTGCACCCCGTCCCTCACCAGATACGCCGCCACCACCGTCCGCCCCTCCTCCCCCTTCTTTCTCGCCGGCACATCAAACGCCGCCAGCTCCGTCGACTGATTCCCTCCAACCTCCACCCCCCCTTCCCTTTTCTCCCACACCCTCTCCCCCGTCTCCACGTCCCAAGCCCGATACACCACCTCCGCCACCATCCCCTCCAACCCCAAGTTACTCGCCCACACCTCCACCTCCCACCTCACCTCCACGTCCGCTCGCGTATACTTGTTCCTCGGCGTCTTGTGCTCCCTCCTCGTAATCCCCACGCTCACCGCTGCCATCTCCCTCTTCACCGCAAAGTACGCCATCTTCGGCCTCAGATAATAATCCACCACGCTCCAGCTCGTCACCGGCCAGCAATCATTCATCTGCCACACCAGCGCCCCCGCATTATACTCCCTCCCCACCCCCTTCCACTGCCTCTTCCACAGCCGATACGCCGACGACAAACACTCGGCCTGCATCAGCTGCGTCGCGTACACGAACTGCTCCAGCGGCGCCGGCGCGTACCGCAGGTTCTCGACCAGGTACAACGCGATGCGGCGCTCGTGGCCGTCGGCCTTGTTGTGGAAGTCGACGGTCGCCGACTGCGGGTGGCGGTCGGGGTCGGCCGCGCCGAGCGGGAGGTACGCGTCGATGGTGCGCGGGGACGGGAAGGCTTGCATGCCGAACTCGGAGACGAAGCGGCCGGTGAGGCGGTCGAAGTTCTGGTAGGGCTCCTGGGTGCCGTGCCAGACGTTCCACTGGTGGATGTCGCCGACGGTCGGGTCGTGCGTGTCGCGCCCGGCGCCCCAGGGGGAGCCGGGGTGGTAGGCGGTGGAGGGGGTGAGGGCCGTGCAGACGGTGGGGAGGATGTGTTCGTACTGGGGGGGTTAGCCAAAGGAGGATAAGTTTGGGATGGGGGGACGTACGATGTACCGCGCCGGGAAGTCGGTCTTGAGCCAGTTCTCCGGGTCCTTATCCTCGTAGTTGTACGTGAGCCCCTCGGACTCCTGGTACTGGTAGTCCTCGTTGTTGCCGGCCCAGATGACGATGGACGGGTGGTGGCGGAGCAGTCGGACGTTGGCCTCGGCCTCGCGGCGGATTGACTCGCGCATCTCGGGCCAGGCCGGGTAGTTGCCGCAGCCAAACATGAAATCCTGCCAGACGAGGATACCGTACTCGTCGCAGGCGTCGTAGAAGGCCTGCTCCTCATAGATACCGCCACCCCAGACGCGGATCATGGACTGGTTGCCGTCGGCGACCAGCTTGATCCAGTCGTAGTACCTTTGCCGCGAGATACGCGGGATGAAGTTGTCGGCCGGGATCCAGTCGCTTCCGCCGCAGTAGACGGGGATGTTGTTGACCTCGAAGAAGAACGACGTGCCGGGCTGGTCCTTGAGCGGGCGCTGCACCAGCCGCGCCCGGCGCAGGCCGATCTTCTTGGTCATCTCATCGACGATCTCCTTCCCGCGGAGCAGCGTCGCCTTGACTTGGTACAGTGGCTGCTTGCCATAGCGAAGCGGGTACCACAGCGCGGGCTTGTCGACGTGAAACTTGACCTTGACACCCTCCCCCTCCACTCCCACCGTCTGAGCCGCAACCTCCTCCCCCTCCAACGTAATCTCCACCCTCACCTCCCCGCCGTGCTGCTTCTCCCCCTCCATCTCAACAAGCACCTCCAAATCCGCAAACCCCAACCCCTCATCCACCACCGTCTCGCAGCTCACATCTACCACCCGCACATCATACACCTCGAGACTGATCGGCCTCCACGGACCGCACGTATTCAGCGCCGGACCCCAATCCCATCCCTGTCCAAGCAAACGTCAGCAACCATCTCATCCCACCAGGAACGAAAGAACTCACCCAATGATACTGCGCCTTCCTCACCG